CAATATTTTAGGTACCTGTAACCATATTAGAGAAACAACCTCATGTAGTGTGCTGCTTTATAAATGTCGAACCCCTCCCCTATACGTCACCCAGCTCTCACAAAAGTGCTGTGAGGTCCCCATTATTATTACATCTATGGTGGGAAACAACAATGTACAACATATACATCCATGCATTGTGTTGACTCCCCAGTGTCTGCCCATCTTACTTTTTGTCTGGATGAGAATGACAGTCACAGAATGCTACCCTTCTGGTCACAAGAGTCAGTTTATGACCCCCAATGTCCTCACCCACTCTCCTCACATGACAGGCGGGAGCAGTAGCTTGTGGGCTGAGCGTGTGGCTCAGACTGGCCTAGTGGGCAGCTCCTCGGAGATTTTCAAACATGGATGATTAACAGAAGGTGTTTTTTTCTCTTCCATTATAAGCTGTATGTCTGTCTGTCCAGTGCGGTCCACAGCATGTGTCCTTCTATGTGGTGGAGCAAAAATTAGAGAATAACCTCCCTGCAGACAGTATCAAAGAAAAGAGGCCCAGAGCCCAAACACTCATGGGGTCCAGTTTTATAATCCTGTCGCCCCCTCTGCCCTCCCTGATAGAGGCACCGTCTTTGTCGCCCCTGTCACGTGGTACCTGGGCCAATTCATTTTCTCCTTAATGTTCAACATATTGGGTTTCTGTGGTTTGCAATCAAACTATTCCTGCAAATACAACAAGCAAAACAGGGCCTTGTCTATGTTGGCATACGTGCGTGAGGTTTGAAGTTGAGGTATGCACACAGCTCTTTTGTGAACAAGTAGCTTTTAAAAATAAGATTGTTACCCGCCCCAAAAGAAGACCTGGGGAAAATACTGTTTATGTCAGTTCAGGTGTTCATTTATTCTATCAGAGACCAAGGTTTTTGTTGTCCCACCATCCTTGGAATGTTGGATTGGATGCTACGTTTGTACTCTAAAGATTGCCAGATGAAAAGAGAAATAAAGAAAACGTAAAAATAGGAGGGGGCAAAAAAGGTAAAGCGCGTTCACTCTTTATTTGCAAAAGGAACCCACCTCCCCGAGATTTCTGCCTGCATCTCTTTGTCCAGAACTGAGTCACACAGCCTCTGCAAAGGAGGCTGGCAATTCTCTCATTTCCCAATCGTATAAATTCGATAATAAAAGCTGACAGAGGGGAAGGAGGCTGTAACTGAAAGCTGACCCAGCTAATGCAGCTTGGCCAGGTTCTGCCGAGCTTCCTCTTCAACATGCCGGACTAAGCACAATTGCTTACTTCCTCTTTTTTTTAAGATTCTCAATTAAAAAAAAAAACTATAGAACACACGTAAATCAGTAATAGAGCTGAAAGAAGTCAAAGGAAGAAATAGAAAAAAGATTCATTTGGACATTCCAAGAGATGGATGGGCAACGGGGGGCAGCTAACGAAGGCAGGCCTGAGTCAGAAACCAAAGCAGTAACAACAGCCCCGCACAGAGAAAAGGGCCGCTGCTGGCCTAAGACCTTTCTTCAGAGGAGCTCTCACGACGTGGAGTAACTCCAAGGACTGGTAGACAAGGGCAAGGGGTCAGACTGGCCATCGGGTAGTCACAGGAAGAGTCAATAAAAGGCCTATCAGCCACGCCCCCTCCCCCTGGTCCCATGCCTTCACAGTGGTGGGCTGGAGAGTCTGTCCTCAGCCTGAAGCGCTGAAAAGCAGCCCTGGGAGCGAAGTAAGAGACCTGTGGGAGGGTGAGGGGTCCAGAAAGCAGGCCTGAGGGTGGACGATAAAGAGAGATAACAGAAGAGAAAATTCCAAAACTCCAAAATAGTATGGGGTGGGGGGCAGGGAGAAGACAGCCCTGGCTATTAATGAAATACACTAAAATTCCCCACAGTGAATGTCAAGTTTCTTTATACTGGCAATTACACACTTCCCCAAATTCCTTTCTTGCGTCTCACCCAAACGCTGTCACGGAGAACCTACCTGTGTAGGCACTCAGCTCATGAGCTGTAGAGGCAGTAGTCAGCTCTCTGTCAAAGGGAATTAGCATTTTGCAAGATAGGGTCAAAAAAATTGCCCGGAACAGAGGAGAAAAGAGAGAGAGAGACACGCAAGAGCTGAGAGGAAAGAATCGTGGAGAATAGATGGAGCAGATCCAAAATCCATGTAGCACAGCTCCCAGGAAAAGAGGGAAAATACATGATTATGTGGGAGGGGTTATGGAATTGTGGAGGGGAAAGTAATCATTGTGACTAAGTCAAGAATTCATTGAAGAAGAATTTCTACAAACTGAAAAACCAGAACAAATCTTGAGAATAAAGTAGATCTTTGAACAGCAATGAAGATAAAAAATTAAAAGACCCTTACCTAAACATATATTTTTGAGCTTATGAACTAAAAAAAAAAAAATGTAGGGAAACAAATCAGAACAGTTAGCAGAAGATTTCTTATTGAAAATCTAGCTGACAAAATGTCATTCACATTTTTTAAGATGAAGGAAAAATTATCTGAAGTTAGAATTTTTTATCCCTCCAAATCATAAGAAAAGAACGTGTTAAAGACTAAAAAATGTCACCAGCAAGCGAGCAGGATATAGCTCAGTGGTAGAGTGTGTGCCTGGCCTGCAGAAGTCCTGGGTTCAAGCCCCAGCACCTCCATTAAAAATAAATAAATAAAATAAATAAATAAATAAATAAATAAATAAATAAATAAATAAACTTAATTACCTTCCCCACCAAAAAAATGTCACCAACAAAGCTGTCTTAGGAAAAATAAGATCCACTGCAGCAAAATAAAATGTAAGAAAGAGAAAGAACCAGGGTTTAAGGAACAGAGAGAATCAATAAATAGTAAAAAGGAATCATTAAATCTTAAAATGCATTTACAATATAAAAGTGAAGATTACTGATATTATTCAGAAAGAATTGCCTTTTTTTTTTAAGAATTGCCTTCTGATGGAAAAAATTGTCTGAAGTGGAATCATATATTTAAATGATGGAAGTTATGTGGGATGGTGCTCAAAATCCTGGCTTGTTCGGAACAGGAAGTCTGTATATATTCCTCATTTTACTGTGATGCTTGAATAGATGTTAAAATATGTTTGGGTAAGCTTTCATTGTGACCATTGGAACAATAAAAATAAGATTCAGTACCTCCAAAGAATGGAGGAAAATGAAGGAAAAATATCCTTTATTTTTCACCTGACAATTATATGTTCTTTATATATAACTGTTCACATAATAATTATAATATCACTCTGAACTATTAGTATCTCATTTCATATATGGGGATTTATGAATTATAAGTAAAAAGTAATTGACAATGGGTAAGTACAAACACATGAGTATTCAAAATAGTTGTAAGGGGTTATATTCCTACATTGAGAAAAAAATATTTTCAGTAAAATAAATCCAGCTATATTCTATTTGTATGATAAAAACATTTACATAATGATACTGGAATATTGAAAGTGAACAAAAGGAGATTATTTAGCAGAAGACCCACATCCCCAGCTTTTATTGTATCACCAAAGGGTCAAGACTATAAACGCAACTTTCATTTTAAGAGTTACTAACTTTATCACTTTGGGACCTTGTGACAATGCTGCAAACATGAACACCCACCTCTCCGCGGCCCTCTGAGAGCCGCGCTCATCGAATACGAGGTGCTTTTTATTCATTGTGCTCTGGGAAGGGCTATTCTGCTTCTACTATTTGAAACCATGCACTTGGAACCTGGGCCAAGATAGTGAAATAAAAGAGAGCCTGCTACTCGGTGCCTCCCTTTGTGGAGGTCTGCTGTCTCCAGGTCTGTGCTCCCAGACGTGCGCAGTCCACAGCAGAAAATAGGATGCTCAGTGAAGCTGCGCTTGAGAAAGCCAGTGTTACTTTTCTTTGTATTAACTTGCTCTGTAAGCGACCTAGATCACACGGTCTCCAAGGCACAAAGGGGCTTAATTTACAAAATCTTCTAAGTAACTGATTGCTTTTACACTGTGGGTTCCAGAGCTGTGTGATCAGCACAAACACACTTGCTGGGGCAAAAAAAAAAAAAAAAAAAAAAAAGTCATTTCATTTCTCTGTCTTCTGAGAAACAGAAAAGTAAAGGCATTCATGGGAAATGAGGAACTGTATGATATTAGGCAACTGTCAGGTCATTATTTTGTGACATGCTGTTTAATAAGCACATATTGCTGCCATCTCATAACATATCAAGCTCCTTTTTTACTTCTTAATCAGGGGATTTCTCTGACTTGTCAGATGTCTCTGTTGGAATGAAGCAGTAAGGAGGCATCCAGAAACTCCACTACCACTATCCTCATTCTCTTGATTAAATTCAAGAAGAGGAGAGCATATCCTTCCTAAATGAAAAAGAGAAAAAAAAAAAAGATTAAACTGACTGCTGCGTGAACACATATCATGTGTAACAAGAAGTCGATTATTATGGAAAGAAAAGTGTCTCTTTAATGTAAAGCTTTGTTCTTAATGGGAAAAAATCTCTCCTTTTAATGAAAAAATAAAACCATCATTATTTTAGATCTAAGATAGTTCATCTGCCTTACAAATTTTCACTCATGGGCTGTATTGTAATTTTCAGAAATAGGTATTCCACTCACCCTTACACGCACATGCACATCCCCCCCGAGGTTCTTTTCTGTTCTAATTCTTTGCCTCACCTTCCACAATGAGCTCAAGCTTCCAAGAATCTACTTTCAAAACCGTGTCCCTGACTTGCTATCTGACCCAAAGCTATTCTCCGTATGTCCCAGATTCTGGTCAGGAAACTGTTTTTGGATACGTTCTCATGGAACCGCGGTGCTACTCCAAGCACTGTTAGGTGCGTAGCCTTGTTCCTCCAGGGCTGGCCTCTTTCTGACGTCGGGGGTACTTCTGACTCCTGCCCTACCATTCTTCATCTTGTCCCCCAGCCCTGGCCCATCAGAGAGGTTTAAACATAAGGCATAACAGTTCTCACAGGACTTTTCTTTCATTTAAGTTTCTGCATTTTTTCTGGGTTCTGAATGATCCACTCGAGTTGGTATTAAACTGTATTTTTGATGAGTCCTCATCTTTCTTTAGGTATCTATTGGCTGTGACAGTTTCTCAGATTTTTTGGTGTTGATGACTTTGGTTTCTCTACTGAACTTACCCTCCTACACACAAACACCCCCCCCCACACACACACACTCACACTGTACTCTTTGGAAGGAAGTGTGTACGTGCAGCCTACATTTAATTAGTAGGAGTTACGTTTAACCTCCTGGAGGGAGGAGTAGCTGCACAAATTGTTTGTGATTGTTTTGCATGGAAGATTTGTATGCTCCATATATATATATATAATTTTTAAACCATTAATTTCTACTAAGAATGTATCAGTGTGTCAGTGTCTCTTTGCCAAACCCCCATTATTGTGGGGGTTTATTTTGTCTTGGTTTGTTTTGAGTACATCCCCACCTGCGGGAACTACATGGTGTTCTAGGATCATCTTATCTATATTTGTCATTCCAGTCATGGATTTAGCTATTTTTCCAAGGAGTCATGGGTCCTATTATTGCAAAGTGGTGTTAGAAACCAAGATCTGGTAGGTATGCTTATTGCTACAGGATGTCATCGCTTCTAGGCCCTCGCGGCTGACAGAGGAGGTTAATATACGTGTGTATGCTAATCCCTGTTTAGTCAGACTACAGATACAGTTACTTATAACTGTAAATACAGGTAACTGTTTTTTGAATAATAAGGTCGCCTCACATAGCACTATACCACTTCAGGTCTGGTGCAGGGCCTTACAACAGAGCATCCCAAATTCTCCCCACCACCATTTATGACACTGCTAATATAAATATACATCTGTGTATTTTTGTATGTATTTGTATGTATTTAACTATGGTTTCTTGAATCTTGAACATGGTGAAGACCTAAAGGAAATAAAATAAAGACGCCAAAACTTCGTTGGCATATTATTGAGATGCAGTCAGAGAGTTCAGGAGAGTAGATATATTAAAATGGTTTTCAACTTAAGACCTTCAAACATACTACATAACTGTGTTCCCTTGAAGGACCTGGAGTACATTCCTTTCATCATCTTCAAGGGTTATGGTTGATGGCTGAAACACGGTGGAGAGCGGGACCCCATCATCTAAATGAGGGCAGTAGGATGCTGGCGTGGCAGGGATTAGGCAGCACGTAACTGCCACAGGCGCAGTCGCTTAGGAACCATTATGATCAGAAAGACATGATTTGCAGCCAAGTGTCTTGATCTGTAAAGACCTGTGGTGAAAGCTAGTACATCTTGGAGGTCTTACGCATGAGATAAAGGGACCGTGGACTAGAGGGTTACTTAATTTGCATAATTTAAAAATTCAAGGCCTGGTGAGCAAAAGGCTTATCTCAGCTGCTACGGTGGCTCATTGGCATCTTTCAATCAATATCCAGATCTAACTCCATTCACAGAGCTGTAGCCCACTGATGAAAGAGCAAGCTGGCCACCATGATGATGGTCACTAATATCTTTGTTAAATGTTCCTTTTATCTTTCACAAATAGGGTCTGAGTCATTTGCAGGTTTTCTGGTAAAAGTGGGGATAGGTTTATGGAGGTGATAAATAGAATTTGGCCAAAATCTATCTTACAGCGAGTCTACTAGGTTCATAGACCTACCTGTGGTTATTTCCTCCTAACGCAAACATATAATTGGAACACACAAACTTAGCACCTGGCAGAACCCATATTGTGGTTCTGTGACCTATGGAGTAAGGGTCATAATTTTAATGTGGCCAAATGGAATCCCATGAAAAAGCCTCCTACCCACCCCAGTCAAAATAGAAGCAATATTACATCCCGGAAAACTTAGTTGTGTGCGTCCGAGATCCGGACTACCCCAGAAGAGCTGACAGAAGCCTGAGTGGTGATGCTCATAATGTCTCTTTCAACATATCCGTTTAGTCCCTGGGGAAGAAAATCAGAACAAGGCAAATGATGGTGAGTTACTGGAAATTAGGCTAGGCACTAGGCTGATTGATACGGTTTATAGCACTTCACATGCTGTATGTAGATCTGGTGAATGAGTTATGTATTCACAGCTGCAGGAAAGAACAAAAACTACTTGATGGAGCAACATGAATCAACTCTTTCCCCTTTCAGCTATGCTAACTACTGCACACTCTGTCATGAAGTTGTCTCGGGGACTTTGAGCATCTTAATTCTCCAGAGGATATTGCACTGGTCCGCTCTGCCCGTGACAGCACGCTACTAGACTTGGTGAGTGGAAAGTGTTGAGTGCCCAGCAGACCTAAGGTAGCAGATGCATACCAGGAAGTGGCCGACAGACATCGCAGAAATGTAAAGGCCAGTCAGTTAATGAATTTTTTTTAGTGTCCAGTGGTTTGGATTTTGTCAGGATATCACCTCTAAGTTATGGACAAGTAATAGCAGCCACTCACATCTCCTGGCACTGAGAAAAATACACAGCACTCTGTGAGTCTGTCACAGAGGATACCACACATCAAATATGGCCCTGACCCGTCCCTTTTTCGCTTCATTCAGAGGCTGGCAGGTGTGAGTGGGGCCCATGGCTAGAGAGGTTCTGCCTGAATTCCAGGTTTATATACCTCTTATTATTATTATTGATGAAATAAAGAGTTTAAATAGTCAAAATGTTATTTTTGATAAAAATGTATTTAAGAAAGAAGCCACATCTGGAGGTAGGCAGTTCTGTGCATGCTCTAATGAGCCCTGGCAAGGATGGATTACAGAGAGACTGCACACAAAATGCTCTGTTTAATTAATAAATTAAGGGGCCATAGTTATTAACTTACTAAGTTTCACCATATAACTGTGGAAAAATAAGTGTTCATTTTCAAACAAAGCAAATTTTTACTTAGATTTAAACATCCAAGAACCATATTTTTCAGGAGAGTGCTAACATAGTCTGTTTATAGAATGAAATATATGCATTGACTTTAGAGTAAATGACACATTTTGAACATATAGATGCACCCATGACCCAGAATAGTAAGGAATGTTTATTCTCAGCAAGGAATTTTTGTGACCAATTCATACACATGCAAAGGAAAAGCCAAAGCCCCTTTCTTTTGATAAGACATACTTTAGATTTTAACAAAGGAAATTGGAAGCATTTGAAAGAACCAAGATTATTCCTGGTGGCTTCCCTCTCTCGTTCCTAACCTCAGCCATACCTGACAATTGAAATGCGCAGACTCATGGGGAAAGGAAGAAAAGAGATTAAAAAAAAAAAAGATTATTAGATTTGACTAAAAAGATATTTTCAATGGTGAATGGCTGCTTGAAAAATAATGTATTGATTTCATTAGAATAGGATTTTTATAACTTTATTCCATAGAAGTCAAGGAAAGATACAGTTATAAAAAGGTCTTCTGCAGGATTGCATTAGTATCTCTGAATGACTCACATGCAAATTCTTTTAGTTTGACTCAAAAAGAAGCCAGAGACATTTTCAATCAAGAGTATACTCTTGGTTACATATGGTAGACTCTGCCTAGAGCACCAGGAAGAATATTAGTGGAAAAAAAAATTGACCCAAGAATTTTTTTTTCAAGTTTGAATACACTTTTCCCCCTTGTTATCAAAATTAAATGAAAGGAAATTTTGAGCTGATAAGAAGTTTTTATTTGGCTTTCTTTTTCTTTTCTTGCCTTAATTCTTTATTTACTATCTTAAATGGATTGATCCATATATTCACAGTGAATATATTTTTACTTCATTCATCAGGTTTTGTGTTTGCAAGGCAAACTTTGTTGAAATATTTACATTATCAGAGAGTCAGCTTAAAATTCAGAAAACTGCTACTAGGTGCATAGCGCTGCTTTGGGTATTGACAGAATGGGTAAACACGTCAGATTTTCCTCGAAATTATCATTCTGAATTCTAGTTCACCTTTCATGTTCTCTAAAACAATAGAATGGATTCTTACATTGCATGATTTTAAATAAGTTTTTTTTTCTAACAAACATCAGCAAATAAAAAGTAAAAAGTATGAGATCACATTATTATTCCAATTCCTGTCTAACCTCCTAGATTTATTTTTCATTTCCCTGCTTTCAATACATGTAACCCCCTCTATGTGATGCAGGAAAACAGACATGGGGCATGAGAAGGGCCATGTCCCAGGTCTCGGTTGAGCCCCTGGGATGTGCCCCGTCAAGTGTGGGTCCTTGGCTTTGCACAGGAAAGAATTCAAGAGCGAGGCACAGTTGAGTGAAGGTAGATTTATTCAGAAAGATACACTGAAAGGCAAGAGAAAGGCCACAAGGTGTGGGGGTTGGTGCTCAGATTAAAAGTAGGTACACACTCCATAGACAGAGTGTGGGCCATCTCGGAAGAGGGAGAGAGAGGGGCCACCGGTGAGGCGCCGTGTTGCTGGTTTCTATGGGCTTGGTGGCTTCATATGCTAAGTGGAAGGACCAGTCTAAGGGGAAGGGGCTGGGCTTCCCAGGAAGTTGGCCATTTCCCACTCTTTGGCCTTTTGTGGCTAGCCTTGGGACTGCCATGGTGCCTGTGGGCATGTTATTCACCATGTTAATGTATTACAATGGGCGTATAATGAAGTTCAAGATCTGCTAGAAGGGAAATCTCTCAGCATCCTGAGCCTCAAGGCCTCCTGGGGGCTGAATCTTCCATTTTTATGTTAATTGCTGTGGCATTCCTTGAATGGCTGTGCCCTTCCCCCTTCCATCCTGTCTCATATGGACGGTAAGACACTTGATGCCCATTATCCTTGATGTATTTATGTATTTAATCAACCTCTTTTTTCATACATTCTTGAGCTATGAAGATGAAATTTGTCCTACAAGTCATCATAACAAAATCTGCTGTTAAGAAAGCAGTCATTATAGGATATGAATGAGCAAATATATTCAATTATCTCTTGTGATGTTATTTAAAATAATACTCTCAAGCCTATTTTATAGATGAAGAAGTTGAAAAAAACAGAAGGTTTAGGTTCTTAGTGGGCAACTTTAAAAAGGCGGGGACGGCCACACCAGCGTTAAGACCCCCCTCCCCTTATAAACTGACTCCTAAAATACTACGATATAATATGTGAACATTTTAAATTAACTAATATTAAAATATAATAATATTTCGAGAATTCACTACCTTTTGAGGAAGTGAGCAAAAGGAATGGAAATATAGTTCCGAGCCTCATGATTCTTATAGAATCATTTACCCTTTTGAATTCTCAAGAGCAATATCATGCTAATTTAAGAAAATAAAGCACATATTATACATATTATATCAAGCATTTTTGTGCCACACACTGTATTCATTGTGCCCCTCAAAGAATGCCATTGTGAGATTTTGGTTAAAGTTCTTATTATTAAAATTAAATGAACGCACATATCTTTAAAGGCCTTAGAAAGGTTATAATCCTTTCTTTTTCTCTACTCTCACAGGAAAAACAAAAGCGTAATGGCCATAAAACATTATTAAAAAAGCACTGCTTCAGTGTACTTTGTTTTATGTGCTACAAACTTATTTCCTTCAACCTTGATTCCTTCCCTTGATTTAACTAACCTAGTAAGTCTTAACACACATACTCTTCTAACTAATGTACACACAGTTTCCTTAAATATCTGGCTTCAGTTTGGTGGGTTTTGAATACCATACATTCACAACATCATTATCAAATAGTCTATAATTTAAAATATGAATGTTGAGATTATCAATACTTTTGCTGGTACTTCCCATGATAAATTTTTCAGAAATTTCTAAAATTCACTGCCTTTTGAGAAAGTGAGAAAATGAATGGGAATAAAATTCAGAGCAATGACCTGGGTAGCTTGTCCAGGGGTGCTCACTTAGAGTTAAGCAGATAGTAGCTGACCAAAGTCACATTTAATCCAACCTAATGTCATTGCATGGAAAACCAAAGGGAAACTCCAAGGGAAATTTTAATTTTTAATTTAAATTAACAATCCAGTGAATAGATCGTCTCATAATCAGGTTTTCCTTTATTATTTTCACCCAGGACATGGATAATTAGAGAAGAAAATGAAAACTTCCTTCTTAAACATTTTTCTTCCTGAGCCTCAAGAATGTAGTCCCCTCTTAACTCTCCTACACTGCTGGTGGGAATGCAGTTTGGTGCAGCCATTGTGGGAAACAGCATGGAGATTCCTCAAAAGACAAGGAGTAGATTTACTATATGACCCAGTAATCCCGCTCCTGGGCATATATCCAGAAGGAACCCTACTTCAAAATGACACCTGCATCCCAGTGTTCATAGCAGCACTATTTACAATAGTCAAAACATGGAAACAGCCTAAATGTCCATCGACAGATGACTGGATAAAGAAGAGGTGGTATATTTATACAATGGAGTACTATTCAGCCATAAAACCTGACAACATAATGCCATTTGCAGCAACATGGATGTCCCTGGAGGATGTCATTCTAAGTGAAGTAAGCCAGAAAGAGAAAAATACCGTATGAGATTGCTCATATGTGGAATCTAAAAAACAAAACAAAATAAAACAAAACAAAACATAAATACCAAACAGAAACAGACTCATAAACACAGAATACAAACTTGCAGTTGCCAAGGGGATGGGGGGTGGGAAGGGACAGACTGAGATTTCAAAATGTAGAAAAAATAAACCAGATTATACTGTATAGCACAGGGAAATATATACAAGATCTTGTGGTAGCTCACAGCAAAAAAAAATGTGACAATGAGTATATGTATGTTCATGTATAACTGAAAAATTGTGCTCTACACTGGAATTTGACACAACATGGTAAAATGACTATATCTCAATAAAAAAAGTTAAAAAAAAAAAGAATGTAGTCCCCTGTTTTTCCATATATATAACTGGCAGTGCATGATTAGTGAGAAAGAAGGACCAAAGCCTTACCTGTGAGTTTCTGCGTGTGTGTCTCCATTTTGTTTTAATTTGGGGGGTAATGTAATTTCAAATTTCAAATTAATTCTAACTTTCTGTGTTAACTATCATTTATGAGAAGTTTACTTTTTAACTTCATGCAAATACAGTAGAGAAAAAGAACCAGTTGTAACTGCTTTCGGTAGGAATATCTTGGAAAGTTATCTACTTGACTACATTCGACAATAATTTACTTTGATACCAAACGTCCGTTTTGTGGCACACAATGAACTAAGCTACAGGTGGTGTTTTGTCAGTCCTAACTGTACTTTGGGATAACCTAGAGGGATCTTAATACGGGGCATGGGTATGGCCCCGTGGATTTAGGCCCCTCTGAAGGCGTAGCGCTCTATTTCAACTTACAGATGGTTAAATGGAGGTTTGGAGGTCATAAATTTAATGAGGAGCAGAAACCAAACCAGATTCAAAAATGTTTGGACTCTGAGGCTCTCATGACTATTCCATGCTAATAATAGTTCAATATTCCCTGTAGGGCCAAATGATGTTGATCATTATATTTGTGAAATTACACCCCGTTTCAAAATTCATCAGTTTGAGTCCTGGCTCTGAGGTACCCCAGGATCCACCAATCAGAGTGCTTGACTGTATTCTGTTCTAATTTTCCAAAGTTTTGTGACTAATTAGGGCTGTGTAGATGGCTCTTCAGTATGTAAACATCCAGCGCTGAGGAGGTTAAATGTGTCAAAGCGTGACAGCCCGCTCTCTTTCCCCAGGATTGCGAGGTTTAAGCAGTAAATACCTCAATATAAGAGAATGTTGATGTCTTCAAATAATCTTTCGAGTTTCTCTTGCAGGATATATCTCAAAACTGCCAAAAATGAGACAGTGTGAAGAACAGAAACCAAGGCCATGAGCGGCCCCGGATGTATCCCGTGATGGCTTGTCTGTGAGCGGAAAGATGAAGGTTACTCTCCTGAGCCCTGCAGGTGCAAGGCTGGCCCAAATCCTTCCCGATAAGCATCAAACGGAGACAACCAGCTACAAGAAATCCCTCCAGCAACAGAATAACTATTGGCACGCCAAGAAATAATCTCCCGATGGGAAGAGAGGCACTGGAAATCATCCCGTGGGTAGCCAACCCCCAGTTCAGCAGCAAACCCTCATCCTGACACAATCAGGAAGATGTCACAGTAAGCACGATTCCAGTCAATATAAAAACAATTACCCCTGGGCTTTGCCGCCTGTTGGCAGTTCTGTGCTTTCTTATTCATTGCACCAGAGATGTTCTTGCCACACATTTACTCTGGTACTAGAGTTGATTATTTAACTGAGTCACTGGGTATTTTCTGACTGGCCAGTGGAATAGTTTGCATAGCCCCACCCCAAGGTTGCCTGGAGAAGTTGTTTTGCAGGGGCCACGGTCCCCTGTCTGGTAGGAGGCATGACTTGTCTCTGTGGAATGAAGCGTCGTAGTGCAGCAAAAAGAGACCGACTAGAAGTCAGGAACCCCCAAGCCCTGTCTCAGCGTCTTCACAGTGTTGCATGGAAACGAATTTCGCTTTGCCGGACTCGGGCTGCTAGTGTGGGTAGATGTGGTATCTTGGGGGGACCGCTTTCAAGATGATAAACTCGTATGAAAATGGGCATTGTTATTAAATGTGCATGCTTCATGAAAGTTATTTTTATGAGACTGTTGGTGTCATTTCTCTCTGAAACAGACAGTATCATTTAAATGGTTTTGTATTCACGAAGACAGACGGGTGAAGAGCGTGTCCATTCCCTCACAATAATCCCATGGACACTTGCAGTTACTGAGCAGTGTCACTTTTTAGCCGTTTCCCCTTGCTTTGCAGGCCTCGCCATGTTTTTGGACCACTTTTACGTTTGCAGCCAACGTGACTAAGAAACTTAACGCCACAGAGCTAGCTTAGACTTTGTCCCCAGACAATAGGGACAAAAATGGAACGTGAACAACCCCAGTCTTTTCTTTGAAGCTATAACTATTATTCAGCTAAATAAAATAGTTTAATGTCTTGGCCAAGACAAAAATGACATTTGTGCCTCCCCATCTTATACTAAATCTGACTGATTTATGGTAAGCATTTAAATACAGTCTTTTAAATATTATTTTATTGGCTGTGGAAAAATACTCCCCTTATTTCCGTGCCCCGTGGACCTTGTGTCATTTAGGGTCCATGATTCCTCGTCTTCACTAAAGTTAACATGCCAGCCAGCAACTAAGAGGCAGAGCTGGGACAGACACAGAAACTCAAAGTTTTCCCAATATGTCGTCTTCCCCCTGGTAAAAATGCTTGTTAGAATCACGTGAATGCCATCCTCAGTGATAGCAGTGATAAGCCCTAAGAACTAGCCTTTTGTCCTATCACATGTCATTTTGACTCATTTTCCATTAAATAGTAAAGTGAGGGAGTGGCCTAATTCATGTCACTTCTGCTCAGAATGTTATTTTGTCACCAACCAGCTGGGAACAAAACAGGGCTCCACCTTTCCAGTGAGTTGTATGTAGACAGACTAAATAGAATCACATGTTGGCAGTAGGTTAAGCTTCAGGAGCAGCTGCGCTCTCATCCGCCGTATCCGTAAGGACCCACAAGGATGCCTTTTACAAGGTAATTTGCTAGAAATGAACTGTTAAGAGTAGGAAGCTGGCTGGGATTACTCAAGGTTCAGTGTGGAGGACGGTGTGGAATAATCGTATCGTAAAGATCATTGACCACACAGAACACAAGTTCTTCCAGCAAATTTTAGAAGAAACGCTAACCAACCTTCAGTTCACTATGAATCTTGAAAATTTCACTCAGCGTGTTTTAAGTACCCTGCTCTCCTTGAAGGTTTTGAAACACTAATTTCTCTCTCGGTCTCCTCGCTCTGTCTCTGTCTCTCTCTCAGCTGCTCCCTCCCACACAGAACCTTACAATGCCACCCACCCAGTTTCTATCAAAGTCAGAGATCTCTATGGATCTGAGGAATGTTCTTTTTTACCTTTTTTAATATCAGTGTATATATCTCAAATAAGAACTTAGCCTGCTAGAATATCCAAGTAATTCTATTAGAAGAACTATGTTTTGCTCATGAAATGTTTTAATAAGTATGCATAACCACCTGCTGTGCATCAGCAAATTCCCTGAGGATTAACTCTCTCAGAACTTCAAATTTTGTTGCATCAAAAATAGGGAAATCATTTCAAAATTGTAGAATAGATAAACAAGATTATACTGTACAGCACAGGGAAATATACACAAGATCTTATGGTAGCTCACAGAGAAAAGAATGTGACAATGAATATATATATGTTCACATATAACTGAAAAATTATGCTCTACACTGGAATTTGACACATTGTAAAATGACTATAACTCAATAAAAAATGTTAAAAAAATAGGGAATCAGCAAGATAGATGTGGAGGCTGAAGAGGTACAAAGTGTCAGGTATAAAATAAGCTACAAGGATGTGCTGTGCAACATGGGGACTAGAGCCAATAGTTTATGTAATAACTATACCCTAACCGTTAAAAATTGTGAATCACTGTATTGTATGCCTGTAACATATAGTGTACATCAACTGTACTTCAGCTTAAAAAATATTATAAAATAAATACATAAAGTTAAAAAATAAAACAAAAAATTAAGGAAATCTGGTAAGCATTCCACTTTTCCACTTCATGGCACCTTTTGCTAGAATCATTTACCCTTCCGGAACTGCCCATATGGAGCGTCACATCAGCTTTGCCTGTATTGTTTGTAAACTGTCACTTCATCTGTGATCTACTCTGTCTAATTTCCTTTGCTTTGCTGTGGATATTCACTCAGCAGCTCAGCACCCTAAGTCCTTCTAGCCCACAAGACATACAGAAATCTGGGTTTGCATTTGCTGTGACCTCGGTCATATTAAACACCATCGCCAACCAACAGGGAAGAAAGTGGAGAAAATCAGTATTTAATATTAACTGAGCATTTTAGGAAGTTGACCTGAATGACCAGTAGAGGGCTCTGCTGCTCTATGCAAATGTCCCTTAAGGGCAAAGCAAAATGCCTTAGAAACAAAACAAAGGAGAAGAAAAGAGAAACCTTTAAAAGAAGCAGAGGGACCGGACTGCAGGGCGGTCGCCCGGAGGGCATTAGAAGAGGAAAATGTATTGTTTCAATGGTGGGAAGAGGAGAGTAAAAGTGAAAGCAGAGCTCATGCCAGATTTTGGGCGGGGGGGGGGGGCAGCTTCTGATGAAGAAGTGTCTGTAAGGCGAGGTAGGAGCTTGAAGCAAATTTTATGGGAGGATCTAAATGCCAGGCTCTGAGTGAGGAATATCATTAACTCAAGGAAGTCCAGCCAAGATCGCATCAGGGCGGTGGGGATTCAGAGTTGGAAATAGCCCGAGAGGCCGCTGTGGCAATGCCTGTGCCTGGTTTGCAGACGGCCAGCTACCATGTTGTCCAGCTACAGTAATTCTGTCCCCAGGAACAGCAACGTGAAACACGCAGCACAACAATTCTGAAGGAACTAGGGTACCACTGTGTATCGAAGCAGGAATTAGTCACACAGGAACAAATCAGGGACTTAACTATGGCCCTTGTTCTATAAGATTAGGATCCTGTTATAGAAAGAAACGCTGACATCAGTTGTTAGATTTGAGTGTAAGATCAGAGCCGCACTGGCTAAGATCCACCAGAAGCTGAATCACCCGAAAGACATATCTGTAACCTCCCTTCGCGTGGGAGTAAGACTGAATCCTGGGCGTGTGGGAAGTCTAAACCTGCACGGGTGCGTGGAGTCGCTCCAGCTGTACCAGATTAGGGCCCGAGGCAGACCAGTACAGGCTGGACTTAAATCTGCTTGTAGTGGTTCCTCTATGATTTTTCGTTAATCTTAACTGTGAATTGAAATAATCCACAAGATATTTATTTGGGATTAGCACCCATGAAAAGGAGAAGAGGAAGCAGGATTGGGCAAAGAGAGAAGCTGAACTAAGATGTAGACTCAACAAAGTCTTGGCAAGCCCAGCGGGGAGCCCCAGTGGGCTGCCCAGTGGGCTGGTCTTGCCCTCTCCCTGCCATTCAGTCACCGTATGCAAGTTGCCCAGTAGAGGCACAACCCTAGGTCTTTCCGATGGAAAATGACAAGCTGTTCTTTAAAGGCCATTGTTATTCTAAGAAGACAGAGGACAAGACTGTGAAGTGATTTAACCAATGAATTTGACAAGGAAACACTGAGAATCTTGGTGGAAGTAATTGTTCTAGATTAACGAAGTCCAAGTCAGGATAAAACAGGTTGTACAAATACTGTCTGTGGAATGAAGAGCTTTGTTAACATTAGGATACAATCTTTTTGGCATCCAAGGACTTGTTAGAGTGTGTGGATATTTTCTGATTCTCAGCGAGCCAGCACAAAGAGACTTTGGCATCTGTTTATAACACTTCCAAGTGTCCTAACGGAGCGATCAATAACCAGTGGGTCAGTTCCTTTGGAATTCTGTTTTGTTTTGATTGGTGGCCTGGGGAGTAGGTGTTATTGAGAACAAATAGGCAGACAGCAAAAATAATCTGTGCGGTTTCTAAATACATGAAGCCTCAATTAACAGCCTCCTCACTAAAACAAAATTCATGAATGTTCAGTCTTCCCTTTTACATTCCTCCGATCTCTACTTAGGCTGAGCCGCCTTCCATGGGAGTCACCACCAGTGAATTAGAAATGGAAGTTTTTATCAGCTTTAGTTAAAAGTGGTCAGAAATCTTTGATTTCTGGCTGTGAAGAAAAGGGAACCCTCCTACACCACTGGTGGAAATGCAGTTTGGTGCAGCCACTGTGGGAAA